TTATTCATAGATTTCAAATAATAAATTTAAAAGGTCTTATATAATTATCGAAAATTTATGTAATGGCTTGACAAGTGAACCTTCGATTGAATTAGAGATTCAGTGACCTGGTGAGTTGGATAAGACTTCGTCAAAACCTCTTTTGTAGGGTCTTTGCAAAATTCAACAATCTGTTGTAAGTGTTTCCAACAAACTCATAATTTCAACAAATTACCGTCGGAACAAATGCTCCTCCCCTGACCGGCGATCGACGTGGCTGATCCACCAGTGGCGACCACTGTGTTGACCATCGAGTTCTCCACCGTTGCAAGATACATAAGCTATATCTAGTCCATTCCCCACGGGTAGAATCACTGACCTAACCACCCTTACTGTATTATCAAGAACTTTACCCCATTGAGTCCTATTAATAATACCTAATTGGGTAGCATTCTTGCAAACTAAAACTGCACCACGGTGGCTCAATTTAGCAACCCTAAAAACTCTAGTATAGTACTTGCACCGTGCATCCACCACAAGAAAATCAACTCCAGCGAGAGTTTCGATTACCTCTGCTGCCTCTCCCACCAAAACTTCCGGCAAGGATACTCCGGAATATTCTTCCATGGCGGTGACGTAATCTAGTTTGGATTTTTCATCTTTTACTATGCATACGTGTCTGCCACCGGAGTGGCGGGCGGCAATAGCAAGGCCGACACTTTTTGTGGTTGCACCACCGGAAAAGCATGCTTCGACGATTAGCTTTGCATTCCAGCCACCAGCCATGGCGGATATCATCTCTGCTGCACTGGATTCTCTGTTAAGGCCACCACACTGCAAGCACACTATATTTTTAGAATCACTGTAAGGTTATATTTATAACTAGCCCCTCTTTGCTAAAAATCAGATTTTTAGTAAATTTTGATAAAAGTTGATAAAATTAATGAGTCTTGCAAGGCCAACTCCAACCCATACACCATTTCACCATTCTTCACCAAAAACACCACTCCAACCCAACACCAAATCTTGCACCATTTAACACCAATGTGATAAAAGTCCATTTGGTCCTTTTTTTCATGTATGATCAAGTTGATATGAATGATATTTGTCTCATTTTACATCATACATAAATTTTAATTCATAGTTAAATAGTTAATTAATTAATAATAACAATATTTTGATGATCATCACTGTACGACACATAAAGATGCTCACATTACACTTAGAAATGCATTAAGTGAACATCTGTGGATGAATATATGAATTCCGATAATTAAATTACGACACTAGGTCAACTTCGTCTTATCATAATTTCAAAATTCGAAATGTAATGTGTTGTTTTCAATAACATGATTTCATATTTTCTTAGTTGTGGTATTTTTATTCATTGAACTACATTTTTAAGATATATTAAATAATTTCATATTTTCGTAAATGAAAAGTAATTATGTATGTAGTAGTAAATCGAATAAATAAATAAATTTTTAGCTATATAAGTTGTTAAAAATGAAAGAAATGAAGAAAATGATTAAACACTATTTATTTGGTGTACTGGATTGGAGATGATTTTTAATTTGATGCAAAATGGTACAAATTTTGATGTTGGGTTGGAGATGGTGTAAAAGAGACGAGACTTAAAAATTTATAGTGTACTTACGGATCTTACGGTATCGATGTAAGCTGCAGAAGCTTTTTCGGGATGCCAAACCAACTTCATTTCTCTTCTTCTCTTCCTTAGATTTTCTTCTTTTTTTCTCCTGATAAATTCCTAAAAGCTAAGAATATATTTAAGATTTATTGGTGGTTTCAAAGGTTTATTTCTTAGTTTATAAATAGTAGTTTGGGACGAGAGAGTTGCAATTCTATATAGGAGTTGACATTGGCATTGCAAGTACAATGTGTGCAATACTTGTCCTATTCACCAAATAAATAAGTCACAATAAGAGTTAATCGAGGAAAATATGGAAAAGGCGGCGTGAATATTTTAAAGAAGATGTAAATTTATTTTTTTATTGAGCCCCTATTTGATATAATTTTTTTTTTTTAAAAGAACGAACTTTTAAATAGTAAATTCTTGAAGAATATGTGCGATTAAAAAGTAAGGAAAAATTTTGAATTTAGGTGACGAATAATTTATCATAAGAATAAGTGGTTAAAAATGAGTATGATAAAAAAAGAATGAGAAAGAATAATTATCAAACAATGGCCAGGAGTATGAATACAAGAGATTCAATATTTATATACAATGAAAAGTAATAGCTATACACTGAATCTGTAAATCGGTATACTGTTCATATCCTTAATTTATTTGTTTTTAATGTACTTAAACTTACATCTTGGTTTGAATTTGTTGACATTTGAACTTCTTTATCCCCAAGGTCTATACACTTTATATTGGCAATGTTGTGTTAGTTTACAACCTTATCACTTCGATAGTCTTAGGTCATCACTCCATTGACATTGATAATAGCAGCTTTTGCTGAGTTGTGATGTGCTAATATTATTAATTTACACCCATTTACCTTAATTATTTATTTTATTTTTTGATAAGTGCATTTTACCACGAACATGGATAATTATTAATAAATATGTTGAAATATGGCTTAATTCTATATAAATTATATGTTGTAGGACAATATCGACGAATATGGTGGAATCTAGGAAAAACAAGCGAAAAAGGACCAAAATGAAAGAAAATAAAAGTTTAGTGATCAAAGTACAAATAGCCAAAAGATGACCCGAAAACAGAAATGAAGATGTGAAAGAATCAAAAATCAATTTAGTGAAGGCATGAAGTACTGAAAGAAGAAGAAAAATGAGAAAAGAGATCAAAAATGGAGAAAATAGAGTTTGGGAACCAAAATGCAAAGATTGGATTTTTACTTGAACTATGTTATAGCACAGTATAAAACTCCATGCAGTCGCATACCTATTTCCAGCAAGTTTCAGGGTCAAAATTCATTGAACGATGCTATAGCCTTGAATT